GGAAGTGGGTACTATTTTTGAAAGTAGTGTTCAACACTGTAACAAATGTTGTAACATATACTGAAACATCCAAGACATGAAAGCCACCTTATCAAGGTGAAGTCCTTCAAGAAGAACCATGTGATCTTACATGATTCAGACTTAGTGGTTGATGAAAATTGAGTGTGTGGGATAGCTGTTATATGTTATTTGTTATAAAAAAACAAAAAAATGTTTTTTTCGTTTTCGTGTGAGTGAGTCATTTTTTCCTTTTACCCTTAGCTTGTTTCTCTTTCGGTCTGTTTGTTTTTGTCTTTTCTTTTGTGCCTTGAATCAACTCTTGCATGATTTGATTCTTAGTGTGTGTCTATATGTATAAGTCCTTTAAGGTGTTACTTAGTGAAACACTTTAGGGAAAGTGTGATTGTCCATCATATGAGTCTAGAGTCTATTTTTGCAGTTGGTTTGTAGGAATGTGTCAAAGGATGTCCTAACATGGATGTTCTAACATCCTGGGTGTTTGTTTCTTGTGTTCCGAGTTATGGGGAAGAGTTGTGTCTTGTGCTCTGAGTTACGTATTCTGCATACTCTGAGTTACATATTCTGTATCTATTTCTTATTAAGGGTTCCCTTGTGCTTCCATAGAAGTTTATTCTTCCTTCTGTGGTAAGAATTGGTTCTTGGTTTTAGAGGAAGTGTCGAGCTATCTTCTTCCTCGTGTGCAAGCTGTTAGACTGTGTTGTTTACAAAGTCTACATGTTTTACATGTAACTTGTGTTTGTCTGTGTGTTTCCATCTGTGGTATTTCTAGAGTGCAATATGTTCTGAAGTTCTTTGTGTGTTTCCATTGTGTACATTTACTCTAGTTCTTTTTGTCAATATTTTGGCTAAAAAGGGGGAGTAAAGTGTTATGTCCTGATGTTGCATCACATATCTTTACATGTTGATTTAGCATTATGATACGACTTTGTGTATGGTTGCTCATGCAATCATTAAGGGGGATCATGTGTGTTCATGCTTCAGTGTGATGAAGATGCTGCTGCTGCTTCTACTGTTCTGTTACAGGTGCTATAGTGTGGATTTTTCCCTTAGGGGGGGATAACATATTATGTTTGATAGTGGAGTGCTAACCTTCCTGGATGTAACCTCTCTAATTGAATTTGGTTTTTGGGTGTTTTAGCAAAAATGTTCCAAAGAGGGAGATTTTTAGTTCCTTGCTTTTATGGTTGGCTAAATTTTGGCTAAGCATGATTCTGAACATGGTTATATGTTGTTATTGAATAAGATGTTGCAACATCTTTATCAATTGTCATAACAGTTTTATTGTTGTGTATTTTCAGTCAGATGTCGAAGGAAGATGTCATGACATCTTGATCTAGCTTTGCAATACAGCAGGCACTGTTGTTTTAAATCTTGAAAGATTTGATTTGATTCTGGAATATTTATGTTGGATATGTTTCAGTCAATTTCGCAGGTCAAGAAGATTTTATCTGGAACAAGGATTTATATCTCCAGTTGGGAATTAGTTACTAAATTGGATCGTTGAGACAAATTAGGAAACTTTGTATTGGTTGTTCCAATATTTAAGGAGATTTTGCTGCACAACAGATACAACTCTCAACTTGTGGATCAAGAAACTTCTGGACTCAGAATATCGAAGCCCATGGATTGAAGAAGTGTATTTAAAGAGAATACCTAAACCTAAAGTTTCAACTTTTATATTTTTATAATTGTAAAGTTAGGGGAAGAAAATAGTATTAGGTTTTGAGAGTCTCTTGTGTATTGTGTGGGTGTTTGTCACCCTTGTATATTTTGATACATGTGGTATACTTATTGTTCTCCTCAAAACTGTGAAGCAAGAGTGAGTATTATTCTTGGAGGAAGCTTTTAAGCAAACTCTAAGTATTTTACTTGGTCAAGAGTCTTGAATAAGTATTGTAATGGAAGTATGATATTCTTGATAAGTTATACTCTTTTCAATCATTGGGATTGAGACGGTTAGATATCACTGCGGTGATTGGAAGTGGAATGGAGATTTGTCATATCTAGGGAGGACCTAGGTAGAAGTAGCATTGGGTAGGGATTAGGCATAAGTTGTAAATGGAGGAGTTTATCTTTGAACTAATATTGTTGATAGTAGACTTTCTTCCTGGCTTTGTAGCCCCTAGAGTAGGTGATGTTGCACCAAATTGGGTTAACATATCATGGTGTTATTTATCATTCTACAGTTTAAGTTTTTGTGTGTATTTAACTTGATGAATTTGTTCAGGGTGTTATATCAGATATTGTAACATCTGTCTTGATATTGTTCTGATGTTGGAATTTCAATATCTCCATGTGTTGCCTGTACCAGAAGAATTTCAGCATGGAAAATGGATAGTTGTGTTGACTTTATAGTCATGAGCATTTGCGTTGTTCTAGGTTTACCCTTGTATATTTATATTTGTGTGTCACCCATATCATTATTGATGTTTTCCCCTTTGTGTTTAAACCCTGATCTATTTTCAAACTTTAACCTCATTCATATAAAAAAGTTTGACTTTGTGTCATTGCATTTTCAAACTTTCTTTCTTTAAGAAAAGCCTCAATATACTTAAGCTTATCAAAACCATTTCAAAAGACTAAAAGTGAATCGACCTCACCAAATCTTTTTGCCACTTTGGATTTTCAATTTAAACCTTTTTATCAAAAAAGATTAAATATAAATCTTCTTTATAGTTGAGATATGATTCTCCTATCCACATAGTAATGACTGAAGAAAATGTGATTCTTTCCACATGAGGATGTTAATGATAACTTATTGATCTTTATATCCAAGTTAGTAGCTTTTTTCTTTATGATGATGCAAGATCCATCTTCTCTTACTTGTGGTGGTATTACTTGAGTTCTCTCCCTAAAAGATGATGAAATATCTCTTCCCCTAAAAACAACCACAACAAACCATTTTGTTATTTATACCATGAACTACAAGGTTTTGATCCTTAATTGGTATGTAGGTATCAGGCTATATCTTTCCAAACAAAAATATAATAAAAATATTTTATTTCCTCATCTCCACAATCATTTAGCAAAGAAACAATTTTAAAACCAAAAAATAGACATTATAAGTGGTTCCTATAGAGTACTATAGATACATAGTATGATAATACATTCCCTTTGTATAACCAATCCTCGTGTCTTAGATCTCTCATTTGTACTTTGCTTTTAGTTTTGCTTATCGCATTGCATGTTAAACAATAGGATTTGGATCTTTTCCCTTTTCCTTGGAAATTAAAGTTCAATGGTGACTTATTAAGTCTTTGTGAGTCAAGTTTCTCAATAGCTTGGTCTCCTCGATTTTTCATCGCGACACACACAAAGTAAAAATGGATTTCTTTCATAAAATGAAGAATTGACTTAAGTTAACCTTAAATGAATTGATTCAAAGTGATTCATGACTCGATTCAATATTTCAAGGTTGTTTGAATCGATTCATTAGTTATTGTAAATTGATTCAAAGAGATTTTTTAAATTCATGATTTACATTTCGTTTATGGAAATCAATTCATAAACTTGTTTGAATCAATTCAAAGACATTTCAATTCTCCGTATTTTGTCTCTATTTATGGGAATCGATTCAAATGTTTGAGATGATCTGATCTAAACATTCCTTTGAATTGATTCAAGAGTTATTTTGATATTAATCATTTAAGGCAAATCTCTAACATTTGATTCATCAATAACTTTGAATAGGATCATTTAAGGCTATTTTTCTCAAATTTAGTGTTACCTCTCAAATATATATAAATAAGATTTTTCATTCTTAAAATCATAAGAGATAAAAAATATCAAGAGTTATAGCTAAAGAAAGTACAACTGCATCTCTCTCAAATATTTATATTCATTTTGTTCATAGATTCATCTATATTTTTTTGTGTGTGGTGATGTCATGCCGCAATTTTGCCCAGACACTTACCTATTATGTGGATTTTAATTGTATTTTATTTCGAATAAATTATGTAGCCTATTTGATAGTGAAGTGAGGATTTAAGGATTTATAAGGGCAAACGCGCGGGTTCAATTCCATTTTTTTCTCCTTTTAATTTTTCAAGCCATTTTTTTTTCATTTCCCACTTTTTTTTTACTATTATTATTTTTTAGAATTATAATAAATTTATCACTACTATTAATTTTAGTTATTTATTATATTATTCTTATTATTTTTAGTTACTATCATATTTTATTATTATTAGGATTATTAGTATTATTTTGTCATTATTATTGCTATTTTAATTAGGTTAGGATTTTATAGTATTAGTTTACCTTCTTAGAATTATTATTATTGTTTTTTATTAATCTTTCATTAATATATATATATATATAATAGAAAAAGGCCAATAATCCTTCCACTTCTCCATGTATCACTTAACAATATGGAGACAATCAATTTGTAAAAAAACTTCATTCCAAAAGTAAACCACCCACCTTTAATTCTTTGCATTCCAAATCTTCATCAATCAAGAACAACACAAAATCCTCAAATTTGCATAAATCTCATCACAATTTCAATCTTCAAAGTTGCACAAAATCCTTCTAAAATCAGAATTTTAATCATCCCAAAACTCTTACAAAATCAAAAAAGATCCAATCTCCATTCAATTTCATTCATTGCTAATTTGCAGTTACATACTTCAGTCCCAAGTTTACAAAGAAATTTCTCAATTAACATTAATCAGAATCAATCATAATTAATTTCTAAAACTTAATTTTCAACTATAAAAGCAAAAGAATTCAGAGTTTACAGGACCGGTTCTGAAACCCGAATTTGGAACCAAGAAAAAATCTCTGCAACCTTGTAATCCAACCCTTACCAAAGCTCTGATTCACAAAAAGTTCTTGAGGTTTCATATCAAAATTCCAAGAGTTTGAGCTTAAACTTCCGGCAACCGCGAACACCGCTCTGTCCTCAGTTTCGACAACCACTACAACTGACAAAATCCTTCTGTTTGCGCATCTGCCTTACTTGTCGGAGCCACCCCACCATGCAATGGAACTGCTGCCAGAAACAGACCACCTACGAGCGTCGTCACGAACAAGCTTTTAGAACTCGCTTGGATTTTTCTCGATCCGGTAACAGTTTCTAGTTTTTGTTTTCTTTTTGTTGATGTTTGATTATGGTGTTTGAATAAATTGATTTGAGATTAGATTGATTTTGTGAAAGGAAGAATGTTAGAGAGAAAAGAGTAAAACCATAGAATAGAGAAGGAAATATATTTGCATTTTGGTTCTGATAATAGTGTCTCGATTGTTCCTTTATGCTATATCACATTGATTTTTTGTTTTTTATTTTATTAAAAGTGTGTCACTATGTAAATGGTGTTTTTATAAGTTAGACCAAGTCTTAATTTCTTAATTTTAGTTATTTTGTTGTTTCAAATTAAATAGAGGAAGTAGAAAACTCCTTGTTTCCAATTTTTTTTATTTGTTATTATTTTTTTTTGTTTAGCCTCTCCATCTAATTATTCCATTATTTTAGTTTTTTAATATTCGGTAATGGCAAAAATTTAGAATTATCGTTAGTAAGTAATGGGCCTTGGCCCTAATCTCTAATATTTTACTATGTCCCACCACAACTTATATTAACACCCTTTTATTTTATTTTTTAATTATAAATAAAAAATATGAAGAATTAATTAATTTAAACATTTTACACATAATACGATGCTCATCTTCGAGTAATTAATTGGGTCGACACATCGTCTCGCAGTTTATTAGTCAAAATCAAACAACTAAAACTCACTAAATACTCCATCCGCGAGCCATACGTGGCCAATATCTGGACACGTGATGAGGGAGACTTTATCAGACTCTCTCTGTATCCTTCATGACGAGCGACATGTGGCCAATATCTGATCACGTGATGAGGAGACTATATCATACTCCCATTGCTCTGTATATTATTATACTTTTTAATCGATCAAAACTCAAAACAGCTAACCAACTTCAAATTATTTTCCTACTAACATAGCAAAACATCAAGATATTTTCGAAAAAGGATTAAGGAGAATTACTTTTAAAATCAACTGCGAACCGCGTCTACGATCACTCTTTTTACAAAACCCATACAAGGTTCAAGGATAAATTTGAAAGCAATTTTATGCAATCCTATAAAATCGTGGATATTACGAACTACGAATTAGGACTCTGATTCCTCATAAGAGGATATGTAGACATACGACTAAAAATCGTGGCGAGTTCCTCTATTAAAAACTAAAACCCTTATCCTAAACCTTTAAAATCTAGACCCTGATATCCTTGTGAACAAGGTAGATGAGGGGTTCCTAACACCTTCCCTTCATTTAAACCTTCCCTTCATCTAAACAAAGTAAGAACCCAGAATCTTTGTGTACAAAATTAGGGTTTCCTATTAGATTTTATTCCTTAGGATAAAAACTAGTAGTGGTGACTCAATTTAAAATTCAGTTACAACAGGTGATTGCTTATGGGTGTTGTATCCTAAAATTTACCCTCCCATTTCTCAAAAAGGATCATCCAGAACTCTCAGGTTTGCTCCTATCAAGTCCCAAGTCTTGAATTACAACTTTTCAAGAAAATCACTCACAAGGGCAAAATGGTCAAAAGCACACTGAAAAAAGTCAAAATTTGACTCTTAAATCAAAAACAAGTTTCAACAATTATATTTCATTAAGACATGAAATTGGTTCATCAAAAATCAAAAGTCAGAAATTACTTTGAAAAAATCAAATTTTCTAAACATTTGGAAAATTTTCTAAGTGTTAAGAGGATATGATACTTCAGAACTTCTGAGTCAGCCTCCACGCAAGTGCAGTCAGAAGTTGCAAACATGGTTCATTCAGAACTTTTGAGTCAGCCTCCACGCAAGTGCAGTCAGAAGTTGAAAACATGGTTCAGAACATAGTCTTCCATCAAAACGTGACTATTCAGCGCATGAAGGTGTTTCCAGTGATTTCTGGTAAACAACCGCTAGTCTTCCAAACTATCGAATAATCTTTATTAACGCTACTCAATCTCTCTGGTAACTCACAGGATCGACTAGATTGATCCTAGGACTCCTTGGATATTAAAGTTACTCTCACAATCGAACAATTATTCATGGTTGCTATTGTACAAGTGTTTGGTTTATTTCGATCCTTCTCTCTAAGAGTTTAAGAACGTGGTCAAATTGTACATGAAAACTAAATTATACGAATAAATGCTAATTGTAATGCTGATTGAAGAGACATGTAAAACTGTATGGAAAATGAAGTAAATGATTTCGATTTGCAAAACATTTAACATAAAAGGTTTCTGGGATGTAGAAGTTTAAAATGTAAAGAAAGCGTTTAATGCAATTTTAATTAAAAAGATGCGTTTGAAAAGAAATACTTGGAAGTAAAGGTATTGAAAGCGTAACAGTTCTCTGAAATATAAAGTGCTCGAAATATAAAGAAAGCAATAAAGAGCAAAACTTTTGAGGAAAAGACTTTGAAATGAAAAGACGATAAATAAAGAAACTTGTAAATGTTATTCGATAAAAAGAAAAGAGGAAAGTACTGGAAATGGTAAAAAGGCTTTCATTAAATTAAAAATACATGGTGCTATCATATATACATCTCTCTTGCATTCGTTTCCCTTGCCATGTGGTAGTTTGAATGTTATTGAGTATTTTGTATAACAGATATGACACACCGAAATCCTAATACTAAGACTTCTATTTATACTAATTCGACCCTAACGGTCTCGCTATAGGATTATGCCACGTTTCGAACATGCAAGACAATGCTTCTTTCATCTTTCCACGTGTCCCCAAATGCTCCAACACATAACTTTCAAACTTTGAAAGTCCCGCTTCCATTTAAATTTTAAATGCTTTGGTGTTTCTCCGTTTCGAACGCTCTTCCCAAACCTAGCCTCGCTGTTGTTTCGAGACCCCTTTGGATATTTTCCCATGATCATCGTTCGAAGCTTCAAGCTTTGACACACTCATTCGAAACACCGCTTCTGCAACTTCGAAATATGGTGTTCAATTCCATTTCGATCAGAACTTTTAACTCTTTTGAGTTCTAGATAACATTATCAAAATCTTCAGCCAACAAATTGCCCCTTTAAAATATGTATTTCGATCTCTTTGAGAAATACCTATTTTAAACATTTATACAAGATTTTGATAGGATTTTCGAATCATCATAACATTTAATGCCTTTGACTCCAGTCACATCAATCATAGCACCTTTTGAGTTCCTTAACCGCCCAGAGTCACTTCACAGCGTGGAGCAGTTATAGGTAATGATTGTTTTTAAATCACGCTTATTTCCTATACCACCTTCTCGCCACCTCTTCATCACACCAATCCATGATCTCCACGTATCACACTTTCACTCGGTGGATGTTTAATCTTCTCATTATAAAACGTCAATTTACTCTTCCTTTTCCTTTTTTACACTCTAAATCTTTCATACTCTGATTTTTCACTCTTTTTCTCTCATACACAATCTAAGCTTTTAAACAACAAAAAATGTCTTCCTCCACCTCTTCCCAACTCAAGAAAGTCTCAAAGAAGAAGGGAAAGACTACAGGAGCAACCATGGAGAGTAAAATCGTCACCATTCAAGGCCAATCTGCTCTTGCTCCTCAAATGATTTCCAAAGAAAAAGAAATGCTGTACGCATCACAGGTACTCATCCCTACCCATGTTGCTGGTAAGAGGTTAGCCTTAAATGGTCCTCTTACAGTTTTTGAAATACTAAAGGACACCAGGACAATTTTCCCGTATGTTATAGCTTCAAACCTTTATTCAACAAAATGGATACCCCTAGGGTAGTAGAATCCCTCAGTTCGAATACCGCAGAAACCCCAACTGTTCCTCCCAAGGACCCATTTGTTTTGGATTATGTAAAAAGCAATTTTAAACCATTTAGATCTTGCCCTACTTCTGATATTGCCTATCAAAATTGGTTCACGAAAGTAGAAGCCAAAAAATCCCAGCAATGGGAAGAACTAGGCATTTATAACCTCATTAAGCTATCGAAACCTGGATTCACCTATAGCCACCCTCTGCTGTTCGCGTCCCTTTACTTCTGGGATAGTACCTACAATACTTTCCATCTCCCAGGTGGAATGATTACCCCAACTTTCTTTGATATAGCGGCTATTACTGGGCTGTCACCAGTGGGAGAAACTTATGTTCCTGACAATGAAGAACACTCCAGCATAATTGACTTCGAAGTCAAGTTAGCCAGCTTTTCCAAATTTATCAGCCATTATCATGCTGAAGGGGATAATGTGTCTGACATAGAACATATTGCATTCTTAACCCTGTGGCTGTCTAGGTACGTTTTCTGCAGTAGATCCCTGCAGGTAGCTAGTAGATTCATTCCTCTAGCTAGGGATTTACACGAAAATCGCAAAGTGTGCCTAAGTGAATTACTCTTAGTTGACCTCTATGAGAGCCTGAGGTCATCCGTTTCGAGTCTCAAATCCCACACCTCTAAAAACATCCTATTAGCTGGCCCATTTTGGTTACTCCAATTATGGCTAAACGCCATGTTCGAACCTTCATTGCCAACCGCCAACACCATAGATGAGCAAGATTCAGAAATAAGTGATAGGATAGTCGAAGGCACTAGGCTTCGAAGACTAACACCTAATGATGACAAGGATGACTTCAAGGTTCAATTCTCGAAGTACATCATGATCCTCTCCAAAAGGCATAAGTTCGAAGAGAGCATGGCGCCTTTTGCTTCGAGGACTCATGGACCCTCTTGGTTCACCATGGCTCTCTCAGAAGCCATCAAGAGCAAGGAGATCCAAGATGTATGGAGAGCTTTTTTGCTTCCTAGACTCATCTCTTCAAGGATAACCCCAGCTAAGAATCAAATTCTCCTTTTTGCCTATCAACCAAACTTCGTTTCGAGGCAGTTTGGCTTATGCCAACTGATTCCTGAACCTTTGTTCCAGACTGAGAGCGCCATCACATCTGGTCGAACTTTCAAGGCAAGGGAAGCCAAGATTCAACAAGAACAATATCAAGGCTTTGCCCAATTTGAGCTGATAGCCTTCGAACCTACCCATCTCGCGGCTAAAGGGTTTCTGGAGTGGTGGATTAAGTTTTATCAAACTTGCATGTTCGATACACTTACAATTCGACAGAAACTAATTGATGCCTTCGATGTGCAGGTACCAGCAAAGAAAGGTATGTTTACTCATGCCAAAGAGATAAAAGCTTTTCAAAATTATTTTGAAACTACTTACGACCCCACGCGCTTGGACTCCACTGTGCATCAAGCAGCTGAGACCTTGAAGGAAAAATTTAAACAAAAAGTTTCTAAGCTAAAACTTCCTTCAGGGCTGTCACCTGAGGATAGGTATAGGTTGGCATTCGAAATGCATCCACCTAAATTTCCCAGATTACCTACCTCAGAACTGGCTCTGGCTTGGTTTCCCCCATATCCATGGTGGTTTACTTGCAAAGAGATGTTCAAATATCTTCAAAGGAAACCAAAGCCATCTGAGACTGTGACATGGGCTCGACATTGGCTTCATGATTTCCCAGGACATCTTCGATATGACCTTTCTGCCATGTCAATTAAATCTGATCAAGGCACAGGTGCGAATGCTTGGGAACAATCCCAAATGTCTTTTCTTTTCCATATCTTTAACCTTTGCCTTAATTGTTTTGATTTTCAGCTATCAGGATAAAGACTGCTGCCTCGAAATCGAAGGAAGGGAGTGCCTCTCAGACCTCCATTGACACTACTGAAAAAGCTAATCCACCCGAAACAACTGCTACTGCTGCAACTACAACAACAACAATAACGCCAACAACAAGTGCCCCAATTCCAACGGTAATCACTTAGTTTTTGATGCTTCGAATTCACTCAAGCTTTTTATATATAACTTCGTTAAAATTCGTTCAGACCAACAAACTTCCTCCCACTACTCCTAAGAAGCGAAAACCAAGCACTACTGGGGAAGATCCCACTGCTGGAGGAAACTCAAATACTGCTTCGAAGAAGAAGCTAAAGAAAGCTACACCAAAAAGTACTGTTCCGACTAGCGTCTCTGGACTTGACTCCAGGGATGCTGCTCCTTTACCAAAATCCAAAAATCCACCTTCGACCTCCAACCCACAGTTGGAACGCATAGCTAGTAACCTCTCCTCTGAGGGCCCACAGGTAAATCGAACTTCCTCTAAAAATGTTTTAACCTCTTATTATCTTGGTGAATATATATATATATATATATATTTTTTTTTTTAACATTCTGCCACTCTTTGCAGAACATCTTGAATCCTACTTCTACCATTTCGACCTCACCGTCCAAAGCTGCTGCTCCGCTTAACTCCTCTCCTCAAGGAGATTCCAGCAATTTGGTCCAAAACAAAGGTTCTTCCAATGTGGCGGTTCTAGCTGGAACTTCTGAACAGCCAGATGACCAAGGTACCTCCATCCCTCTGAAAGAGGTAAACGAAACGATACTTCAAACGTCTGCAGAGGATTCACAAAGGGTTCTTCAAAAGTCCCCTCTTGAAACTCTTCAAGAGGACCCAAAGGATACTCAGACTGAAGAAGAAAAAGCTGATTCTGGGCGAGAATCCGAAGAATCTGCAGGCGAAGAATCTGAGGAGGAAAACACCAATGAAGAGGAAAACGCCAATGAAGAGGAAAACGCCAATGATGGTTCGACTGCCGGGACGGGGTCTAACGCACATAGCGGCGAAAGGGATGGTATCGAAGTGGTAGATTTGGACGAAGATGAAGAAGACCAAGAGCACGAAGCAAATGAAGGGGATGGTGATGCAATCAACGAAACCCTAGAGGTTGAAACAAACGCGGTTCCCCTACGCGTGGAATTCCCCCAATCCTCTCCGTCTCGAATGACTGACGAAGAACTGGCACTTCTGAGGCGAAATGACCCCATTGGGTATATGAAGGCAAAGTTGGCTCAGAGGGACGTTCCACTCGCTAGGGCTGGCACAAGTTCAACCAGCTATCCTCTTCCCACAGATGAAAGAGTCGTTCTTCTTAACAAAATTAGGAGAACTATTCTCAATGTGGATATCTTCGAAGTGCTTAAGCAAGATAGTACTGCTTGCTATACTATGAAGGAGCTGCTTACAAAGGTTAATCTTTCCAACTGCTCTTTGCCAGTTAGTACTCTCTTGTTTGATCTTCAGACTTTGTTGGACAACGTAACTGGCTACCTTCTCCAAGACGAATCTGCTGCCAAGAAGGTTCATGAGAAACGCATTGCCATGGATGCCGCCTATGAACAAGCTTCGAAGCTTTCTCAAGAAGCTGAGGATCAGGCTATGCATCTGAAGCAGGCGAAAACTGAATATGAGGCTCGAGCTGAGTCCATTCTTATTTGGGAAAGGCAGATTCTGGAACTTCAGCAGAAAGTTAAGGAGGCTAAGGAACAACAACTAGCCTTCGAAACTAATCCTGCAGGTAACCAATTCGAAGAGCTTCTCAACCGGGGGCTTGCAGAAATGGAGACTGCAGAACAACTTAAAGGAGAAGTGGCAACCTTGGAAGGTGCCAGGCGGTTTGCTCAGCAGAGGCTTGAAACATTTCGAAGCACCTTTAATCGATTGAAAAATAATGTTTATTTCTAAATTTTTTGTATCTCATCTGACCATAACTTTGGTTTTTTCATGTAATATTCGAACAACGCCATTTTGGCATTCTTATCTTGCCATCTTGGCTTTTTATAATATTTTGTTTATGTTGTTATTATTCGAACCTCCCGCAGGCTTGGCTTATATTTCTTTAAATATTTCCCATTAACCTTTAGGACACGTTTATCATCCAAGAGTTCTTCGACTTCGTATGCATTGTTTGAGAATACTTTTAATATTCGAAAAGGTCCTTCCCAATGAGGTGACCATTTTCCTAACGCTCTGTTCTTCTTATCCATAGGCAATATGACTCTCCAAACCAAGTCATTAATAACGAATACTTTTTTCTTTACCCTTTTATTGTATGTTCTGGCCACTCTTTCTTTTTGCCTCATCAAAATTTCCAACGCATGTAACCTAATTTCGTCCAACTCAACTAATTCATTCATCATCATTTCCCAATATAATGCAGCTGGAATTTCGTTTTGTTTCTGGATTCGAACTGATTGCAGATGAATTTCTATTGGTAATACTGCATCATGGCCGAATGTAAGTTGGAAAGGCGTAGTGTTGGTGGCTTCCTTAGGAGATGTTCTACAAGCCCACAACACTTGGTCCAGAGTTTTATGCCAATTTCTTGGCTTCTTGCCAATATGCTTCTTGATTAATCCTATTATTACTTTGTTTGCTGCTTCGACTTGTCCGTTTGCTTGAGCATAATATGGTGTTGATGTTAGCAATCTGAACCCCATTTCTTGGGCAAATCCTTGCATCTTTCTACCAGTAAATACAGAGCCTTGGTCTGTAGTTATACTTTCTGGCAATCCAAACCTATAGATAATGTGCTTTTGTATAAACTCGATAACTGCCTCTTGATCAGCAACTACCAAAGGTATAGCTTCGATCCATTTGGTGAAATAATCTACTCCTACCAAGATATATTTCTGACCTTTGGACGAAGCAGGATTTATCTCCCCTATCAGATCCAATGCCCATCCTCTGAATGGCCATGGTTTGATGATCGAATGCAACTCACTTGCAGGGGCATGTTGAATTCCTGCATGTTTCTGACATTCCTCACATCCTTTAGCAAAGTCTATGCAATCTTTGAGCATGCTAGGCCAATACAAACCATATCGAAATAGCAACCATTTCATTTTGTGGCCTGCTTGGTGTGCCCCACATGCCCCATTATGGACCTCAGACAATGCTAAATATGCCTCACTTTCTCCTAGGCATTTCAATAATACACCTTCTTGGGTCTTTTTGAACAATTCGTTCCCCATGAGGAGATATGACAATGCTCTATATTTTGTTTTTCTATCCACCTTTAACGTTGGGTCTGCTAAATAACTCTTTAATGGACTTCGCCAGTCTGTATCTGACAAAGTATTTATGGCTAGAATTTCGAATCCTTGTTTCTCAGCATATCCCAATCTCATACTTTCCAGATCCGATGGTGTGAATCTAGTAGCCATAACTCTTCCCCTTATTTCGACCAAATCTTTAAGATTCTTGGTAGATACTCTATAACCTGAAGCCAACTGCGCTAAGTCATTTGCTTCTTGGTTTTCTAATCTTGGTATATGTTGAATGTCCATGTATTCGAACTTTCGTAATAGCCTATTGACTATGACGAAGTATACCATTAAATTTTCCTTTATGCACTTGTATTCTTTTGTGATTTGTTTGACCACCAATTCAGAGTCTCCTTTAATTTCGACTCTGGTTGCCCCCAATTCCAACAAAGCTTCAAGTCCAACAATGAGCGCTTCATATTCAGCTTCGTTGTTCGAACAACGAGGACCATCCAATTTATACTTGAATTTTGTTGGAATTCCTTCAGGAGAAATTAGAAGGACTCCAACACCACTTCCATTCCTGTGGGTTGAACCATCAAAGTACAATTTCCATGGTTGCATTTCGACGTAACTCATGCTTGTCTGCTCAACCAACGAATGATCCACAATGAAATCAGAAATCACTTGACCTTTCATAGCTTTTAAGGGCATAAAAGTCAATGAATATTCTGTTAAAGCCAGAGCCCACTTTCCAACTCTACTATGCATTATTGGTTTTGAAAGCATATGTTTAATGACATCGAAGTGAGACGAAACATAAACATCAACAGGTTTTATATAATACTTGAGTTTCATACAAGAGAAGTACAAACAGAGACATAGCTTTTCTAAATTGCTATATCTGGTCTCTGCATCATTTAGCACTCTACTTAAATAGTATATGGCTCTTTCGACGCCATTGTTATCCTCTTGTGCTAACATACTACCTATGCTAACTTCAGAGGCAGATATGTACAATCTCATGGGCTTCCCCCATGATGGTGGAGACAAAATAGGAGGCTGGGAAATATATTCTTTTATTTTGTCAAACGCCTCCTGGTGAGCTTCGTTCCATTCGAAGGCCTGACCTTGCTTCAGACGAAGTAACGGAGAGAAAGCTTGGGTCCTTCCACTCAGGTTCGAAATGAATCTTCTGAGGAAGTTAACTTTCCCTAGTAGAGATTGCAACTCCCTTTTTGACGCAGGTGCTTTCGTCTCCATTATGGCTTTGGTTTTGTTCTGGTTGATCTCAATTCCTTTCTTGTGGACCACAAAACCGAGAAAGTCTCCAGCCTGCACAAAAAATGCACATTTAAGGGGATTCATCTTTAAGCCATGTTTTCTCATCCGTTCGAATGATTGGCCTAACTGATGCAAATGTGCTTCTGCAGATATAGATTTAATGACTATATCATCAATATACACCTGCATGAAGGTTTCGATGAAGTCATGAAAGATTGAATTCATCGCCCTTTGATAAGTTGCCCCAGCATTTTTTAAACCGAAAGGCATCACCACCCATTCGTAGGTGCCTAAGGCTCCTGGGCAACGAAATGCTGTTTTAGCCACATCTTCTTCAGCAATGAAAATCTGGTTGTATCCAGAGTATCCATCTAACATGCTCAAATATTCGAATCCTGCAGCAGAATCTACTAGCATTTCTGCCACGGGCATGGAATATTCATCCTTAGGGGTTGCAGTATTTAAATCCCTAAAATCTATGCAAATCCTTAAAGAACCATTTTTCTTAATAACAGGTACTATGTTTGCTAACCATTCAACGTACCTTGTTGTTCTGATGAATTTGCAGCGCAGCAACCTTTCGATCTCAGTTTTAATTTTTGTGAGAACCGCTGGTGCGAATCTTCTAGGAGTTTGTTTGATGGGCCTCTTGCCATCTTTGATTGGCAGTCTATGTTCGACCAACTCCCTCTTTAAACCAGGCATCTCATCATAATCCCATGCGAAACAATCTTTGTTTTTCCTAAGGACTTCGATCACCTTTTCCTTGAGGCCTGGGCTAAGTTTAGCACTCACGTAAGTTACTCTTTTCGTTTCTTCATCCCCTAAGTTGACTTCTTCGAGCGGGTCCTGTGCCAACATTTTGACACCTGAGTTTATGGGGTCCCTTTCGAAGCCTAAGGGTTCTTTGTCATAGATGGCATCCAACCTTTGATCCATCTCCAATTCTTTGATGGGTGAGCATTTCGCACCCCCCCCCACTGACTTCATTCGTCTTTACAGTTGATTCATTTATTTCAGCCTCTAAGGCCGCTTTCGATTCATTCTCAGCCATATAGGCCGAAATCCTTTCGAAGAAGGTAGACTCAGTCATGGTTAAGGTTGTCGAAGTTCCAGCCTGCTGGCCGTTTTTGTATAGCACCTTCAACTTCTTCCTCTTCACTGATTATTGTTCTATCCCAGTAAAGACCATCATGACGAAGTGTCATGTAGTAGTGGGCGTTTCTAGTTTCATGCATCTCATCGTTTGGGACACATGGAGCAATCTTTGCCAGATTTTTATCATAATCCCTTTTGTCAACTAAATTGACAGTTGACATAAAGTAACTCTGGTCTGCTTCGATGTTTTCCACGATTCCGTCCTCTCTCCACAGAACTAGTCGTTGATGCATTGACGAAGGAACTGCCCCCACGCCATGAATCCATTCTCTTCCTAGCAGTAGGTTATAGTTGGCCTTGGCTTCGATAACCATAAACATGGTGGGCCTGCAACTTGAGCCTATTGTCAATTCCAACTGGACCACCCCCAGTGTTCTGCCCACTTTTCCCTCATAATTGGATAGAACCATATTATGGGGCTTGATATCTCCTTCGCGGACCTCTAACCTTTTTAGCATGAAATGGGGAATTAGGTTGACTGCAGCACCCCCATCCACTAAAACTTTGTTCACACCATGGACACCTACTTTCGCCCGAATGAAAAGTGGCTTGAGATGATTCTTCATTGCAGGCTCTGGGCGTTCGAAGAACGCATTTTGTTCCTCAACAGCCCCATTGTCCATCACGTAGTAGCACACGGGCCTATGTTTCATTAAATCTGTGGTGTCTTCCTCCTCATATTCATTGATTTCAGTTTCCTGCCCAAATTCGCAGGGAAGCACGGACACCACGTTACAGTTCAGGTTGAATGAAGACTCCCCCTCCGATTCGAAGTTATCTGTTACCATATCTTCGTCCTCTTCCGGGCCTGGAATATATTCCTTTGGTTCGTCTCGTTGGTCTTCAGAAAAAAGCCTCCTATTGACTGGAGGTTTCTCTTCAGTCTGATTTTTTGGTTTGTTGGTGCTTGATTCACCTTGTATCTTCGTTGAAGCATCCCCTTTGTTTGCCATAGCTTCCCTCTCAGCCTTTCGAATCCTTTGCTGTCTGCGCCACTGGGATCTTGACATGGGGTTCTTTCCTTTGTAATTCTCTAATCTCACTTC